ATAAATAAGGGTCACGGAGTCTACAATTGGTGAACCTAAAGAAGCTAAATAAGAAGGTGATCCCAAGGAAAAACATATAGTTATCCTCTTGCCTATGGGAAGTAGACAAAATTGCCGGGGAGAAAAGTGGGATCTTGGGGGTGGGGTGGGTTGGAGGGAAGGGGAGATGGGGAGAGAAAAGTGAGAAGGGGAGGATGGGGGAACTTGGGGAAACAGGATGATTGGGATAAAGGAAGGCTGGATAGGGGAGCACGGAAGCACAATTCTTAGTTAAGGGAGCCACCTTAGGGCTGGCAAGAGACTTGAACCTAGAGTGGCTCCCAGGAGCCCAAGGCGATGTCCCCAGTTAGTTCCTTGGGCAGCTGAGGATAGGGAACCTGAAGCGACCCTATCCTATAACAATACTAACGAATATCTTGCATATCACCATAGAACCTTCATCTGGTGATGGATGGAGATAGAGACAGAGACCCACACTGGAGCACTGGACTGAGCACCCAAGGTCCCAATGAGGAGCGGAAGGAGGGAGAAGATGAGCAAGGAAGTCATGTGTTTTCTTTCTTCCCCTGTGTTCAGAAACTATATGAAGAAAGCCCTCATGTCCCTCAGAGGAATAAAAGGTCACGAAGACACTGGGTATAGTGACGGACAGTGCACAGCCTGCAGAGCTCTGGAGTTGGAGGCAGCAGAAAGATCCGAAATTAACTGAATCAATCTCTCCTAGACAGTTAGTCCCTGTAATAATGGTCAGGCCTTTTATAGAGCAGGGGACAAAGCATCAGACCAGCCACCGAGAATTCGAATATCCATTGAGTAGAAGGTTCTGAGAGAGAAGACCAACTAGCTTTACATATGACAGGGATGACTAACCATGAGACTTGAAATTATACCCTGCTGGGGAGTTTTTAAACATGTATAGGCTAAAGTTCTGTCACATCTCAGTTATACTAGTATGTATGTATGTATATAGATATTTGCTATTTGGTTAAGAGATTTATTAAAAATATCATTAACACCACAGACGGGACAGACAGATAGTAGCATTGTGGGGACTTTAAGGAAAGATCAGGCCCATGTGACTGAGTGAGAGACCCTCCTTATACATTTTAGAGGAGGGGGGTTTCTCTACCAAGTGGTTGATAGGCAGTACAAAGTTGGGTAGGAGAATTCAAATAAATTAATTCCATGCTAAATCAGAATTGAGTATAATAAGGGGTTCTTTATTTAGGGGGACTCACAGATTACAGTCCTCTGCACAAACAGAGAACAGGAACTGGAACAGTCCTCTGCGCAAACAGAGAACAGGAACAGGAACAGCATGCACATTTTGGTACCCAAGGTCACACCTAACCTGGTCCAGCCTCTCAAAGGCCATAGGCTGAAGGAGATTCCCCAGCCCCTCTTCATTTTGTCTAAATAAGAGACTTCCAAACCCAGTACAAAACTATATACAATAAGAAGAGATACCAAGTAAAAAAATTAGAATTATAACCAGCATAAACAATATTAAGCAAGAAATACATGCTAAATGTTTTGATAGTTATTTTATCCTTAGAAATCTAAGTTTTGCATTAGAAATGGCTTGTCTAAATCATAAAAGGAAAGTAACTATTACTATCTAGTCTTTAAACTTTGTTTTTTGTCTTCTAGAATTGCTTCTAGCTGTCATGAGGGCGATGTTATTTCTATGGTATCCTGTAAAACTAAAATGATGATTAAGTTTGGTTGTAGCAGCGTGCTGTGGGCGGAAAGCAGGAGCAGGAAGCAGGTCCTGGTAAGTGAGGGTTCATACTCACATTGGGCGCACCAGATGTAAGAGAACACAAATAATAAATTCCACACTAACACAGAACTGAGTATAATAAGGAGTTCTTTATTTAGGGGGTACTCACAGATTACAGCCCTCTGCACTAATGGGGAACAGGAACCAAACCCAGCATCCAGGTAAGAGAGGAGAGAGAGCAGGTGCACAAGCACACACCTTTTTGGTACCCAAGGCCCTGCCCAACTTGGTCCAGCCTCCCAAAGGCCATTGGCTGAAGGGGGTTCCCCAGCAAGATTGTAGTCAGACTATCTGTGATTCCTGCTTGGCAGTGGGGAGATAGAAAGGGCAGAAATCCAGAATGAAAAGTTCGTGAAAGAGCTTTACAAAATGGTACAACCCTGGCTAACATCCTCAACTTTTTTTCCTGTTTGTTTGTTTGCGACAGGGTTTCTCCGTGTAGCTCTGGCTGTCCTGAAACAAACTATGTAAACCAAGCTGGCTTTGAACTCACAGATATCTACCTGCCTCTGCCTCCCAAGTACTGGGATTAAAGACATGCACCACCATGCTTGGTGACTTTGCTTATATTAAACAGGTCAAAGAGACTGTGCAGTTGTCATCCTTGGAACTCTTCTGTGGAATGAGTGGCTTTTTCATCAGTGGGGTTTTGGTGTCTCTGGCATCAGGTATTTTGAGAAAGTATGGTCTATGGAGGGTTCCTACCAATGTCTGCTAATATCTGTCTATCTATCTAACTCTCTGTCCTCAAGTTATGTTAATATTCTGAAAGTGGTTCCAATAGATATCCAGCATATAAACACAGTAGAGAATGACCAGATGAAGGTGTGCCGTATATGGACAAATAGAACACAATGATTTTGTATACTTTTGAAATTTTCATGAAAAAATCCATAAAATATTCATCTTACAGAATCAGTTAAACTAAGTAAATAGATAAAAATAATGTAGAATTCATGAATACTTGAAAATAATTCACAAATCCCTATGGAAATCATTAAACCTCCGACTAACAGCTTCTGGTTTGAGATCCAACAAAACTAGCAACTGGGGTGTTGTAATAGATTGATCAGCTTATTGTTTGTTTTCTTTGTTAAAGGCATTGGCCTAGAAAACCTTGACACTGAAAGATACAGAATAGACGCCTTTAAAAATTCACATGTTACTCCAGGCAATTGGACATGCATACAAATAATTTTCTACAAGCGGGGAAAACGATACTTTCTCTAGCAATTCAGAAGACCATGAAATCCTTTCTGGTTGCAAGAATGAGGGTGAATTCCACCACACGGTAGAATAGTCATCCCAGAAGGGAAGCATCAAGGGCGCTAGAGTCTGCGTGGACTCCTTGACTGGGAATCCCCTCCTCCGAGAACTTCTTCTGATCCAAGTAGGAAAGACACCAGGTAGAATTAAGACTATGAAACTTCTGACAAATCTAGATTTTCTGATTTCTTTTCATTTTCACACCACTCTCACCTTGTGCTATCCTGATTTTTTTTAAAGTGCAATCATACCTCCAAATATTTTTTTTGAATTTTTTTTATTGAGAAAAGAAGAAAAAAAACATAAACAAAAAAACAAGTTTCCACCTCCTCCCAGCCTCCCTTTTCCCTCCCCCTCCTCCCACCCTTCTCCCCCTCCTCCCACCCTTCTCCTCCTCCCCCCACTCCTCTCCCCCTCCCTCTCCAGTCCACAGAGCAGTCCGGGTTCCCTGCCCTGTGGTAAGTCCTAGGTCCTCCCCCCTCCGTCCATATCTAGGAAGGTGAACATCCAAACTGGCTAGGCTCCCACAAAGCCAGCACATTAAGTAGGATCAAAACCCCGTGCCATTGTCCTTGGCGTCTCATCAGCCCTCATTGTTTGCCATGTTCAGAGAGTCCGGTTTTATCCCATGCTTTTTCGGTCACAGTCCAGCTGGCCTTGGTGAGCTCCCAGTAGATCAGCTCCACTGTCTCAGTGGGTGGGTGCACGCCTCGTGGTCCCGACTTCTTTGCTCATGTTCTCCCTCCTTCTGCTCCTCATTGGGACTTTGGGAGTTCAGTCCAGTGCTCCTGTGTGGGTCTCTGTCTCTATCTCTATCCATCACCAGATGAAGGTTCTATGATGATATGCAAGATATTCGTCAGTATTGCTCTAGGATAGGGTTATTTCAGGTTCCCAATCCTCAGCTGCCCAAGGAACTAACTGGGAACCTCATCTTGGGCACTTGGGAGCCCCTCTAGGGTCAAGTCTCTTGCCCGCCCTAAAGTGGCTCCCTTAACTAAGAATTGTGGTTCCGTGCTCCCCTATCCACCTTTCCTTTATCCCAATTCTCCTGATTCCCCAAGTCCCCCCTACTTCCCTTCTACCTTTTCTCTCCCCAGCTCCCCTTACCCCCATCCCACCCCACCCCCAAGATCCTAATTTTCTCCCCGGCAATTTGGTCTACCTCCCTTAGCCAAGAGGATAACTATATGTTTTTCCTTGGGTTCACCTTCTTACTTAGCTTCTTTAGGTTCACCTATTGTAGACTCCATGGCCCTTTTTTATGGCTAGAAACCAATTATGAGCGAGTACATCCCATGTTCATCTTTTTGGGTCTGGGACACCTCACTCAGGATAGTGTTTTCTATTTCCATCCATTTGCACAGAAGAAGTTCAAATGGCCAAAAGACACTTAAAGTCGTGCTCAACTTCCTTAGCAATCAGGGAAATGCAAATCAAAACAACTTTGAGATATCATCTTACACCTGTCAGAATGGCTAAAGTCAAAAACACCAAGGATAACCTTTGCTGGAGAGGCTGTGGAGGAACGGGTACCCTCATCCATTGCTGGTGGGAATGCAATCTTGTGCAACCACTGTGGAAGTCAGTGTTTCGGTTTCTCAGGAAATTCGGGATCAACTTACCCCTGGACCCAGCAATACCACTCCTGGGAATATACCCAAGAGATGCTCTATCATATGACAAAAGCATTTGTTCAACTATGTTCATAGCAGTATTATGTGTAATAGCCAGAACCTGGAAACAACCTAGATGCCCTTCAATGGAAGAATGGATGAAGAAAGTATGGAATATATACACGCTAGAGTACTACGCTGCGGTAAAAAACATACCTCCAAATATTAATAGAAATAAGGTGCTAACCGACACTGACTAAAGCTTTTATTATTATTTATAAAGCTTCGCCTCTTAAAAAAAAGTATGAATTTAAGAATTCATCAACTAGGCTTTGCGGACACCGGGACTGCAAGATGGCGTCGCTCGTGCCACTGAAGGAGAAGAAGCTTATGGAGGTTAAACTTGGAGAACTGCCAAGCTGGATATTGATGAGGAATTTCACCCCCAGTGGCATTGTGGGAGCCTTTCAGAGAGGTTATGAACGGTATTACAACAAGTACATCAATGTGCGGAAAGGCAGCATCTCGGGGATTAACATGGTGCTGGCAGCCTATGTGGTTTTCAGCTACTGCATTTCTTACAAGGAACACAAACATGAGCGGCGACGCAAGTACCACTGAAGAAGGTCACTATGAGGGGACCGCACACCCGAGCATAAGTGCTTCTCCTGTGCCCATCCATGAAGAACTCAACTGGCTGGATCTTCATGTCTTAAGAATTAGTGTCCAATAAAAGGTGACTGACTGGTTCATGTAAAAAAAAAAAAAGAATTCATCAACTAGCACAATTGATATCGGGTCTATTCGTTCACCTCTCTCTCCCACAGTCTAACACTGTAGGTAAGAAAGCTTGACATTTCTAAATGTGCTTAATATTTTCCACACATGTTCCTTAACAAATGAAATAGTACTACCATTTTTGTGCGTTTAAATGCATTTGCATTTCATTCAAGAGAAATGAGGTTTTGGTTTTAATTTCATCTCAGTCCCATTTAATTAAAGTCTAGCTCATTTGTCTTTGAACACTCTAAGTGCTAGAGTTTGGCTAAATCACTCAAAATGAGTTTGAAATTTGGACAAGATTTTTTTAAGCTATGAATAAATTTACATCTGATGATTCCTAAATCCCTGTATTCCCTCCTCCACCCTCAGGTTAATAGAATGCTTTGTGCTTCCGAAGTGTTCTTTCATACATTATTTCACAAGCTTTCTGGAAGAATCCCAACAGAAGGATAAACCAAGTCCCATTATCTTCATTTTACAAACCTCAGTTTCAGAGAGATAAAATGACTTAGCCAAGGTCGCACAAGCCCTTGAACATTGAATTAGAATGAGAACTAGATGTTCCAGTTCCGGGAATTATCAATGCATTGCCATCTAAATATGCCTTCTTTACATCCATTTTCCCAAGGAAAACTTATCCTTCTCAAGTATTTTTAGAGAGAGAGAGAGAATGTGTGTGTGTGTGTGTGTGTGTGTGTGTGTGTGTGTGTGTGTGTAAATTAACTGTAAATTTTGACAGTGCTAATGCCTATTGAGTCATGGGCTCTGGGGAATATGTTTACCAACTTTCTTAAATAATTACTTTCTGTAGTGCTGATGTTTGAACCCAGGATCCCTTGTATGCTAGGCGAGTACTCTACCACTGAGCCACTCTCCTATCATGCCTACATTATTCTTGATCTTCACAACAACACTTGATGCTTTATGGAAGAGAAAATGAGGCTAGCATGAGGCAAAAAAAAAAAACTTGCCAAAGTCACATGTTTGAGTTTCTGCTCTCCTTGGCTCTCTGAAAGGCTATATCTTCACTGGTAAACCTATGCTGATCTAGTATCCCCTGAAATACATAGACAAGTCCTATCACCCTGGCAGGGGCTCCAAGAACATTGCCCTTGCTGTTACTCTCAGGACAGTTATGTAATGTTTATACGTAGAAAACACAACAAGGCTAAAAAACAAACAACAAACCAAACAAACGAAGAAACCCCAACTGTTTTAGTACAATGTTTGCCCGTCAGAGGTTTACCTCTCTAAGTGGATGTGTTGATACATAACAGCACAGACGTCAAGCAGGAAAACAGCAGAAGGTTGCTCTCCCGAAGCATAAAATGGGTGCTTCAGATTTTATCCTGTAAATACCACCAGATTCCAAGCAACAAGGAAAGCAATGCTGACTAAGAGAAGACTCTCTCAGAAAGGAGTTACAAGGGAATGGAATTCATTTATTTGGAGACAAATGAGGTGGCGGCAATTCTAGCAAGAGCTGCACAGTCACAGATGCTCATGGTGTATTTGGAGAGCTCCCTGCCATCCTATTTGTGATGACTTCTTGTGAAGCTTGAAGTGTCCAGTGCTCACTGGATCCTAAGTCAAAGATGAGTTTTTCACTGGCTTCCTGAGCCAGGACTCAGCTGCAGGTGCTAGAAGCTCAAATTAACAGCGGCTCAAACGAAGGTTTACTTTTCTTTCATACGCTCTCCTCAAGTTACAGTGGTTGAAATGAACAGTTTTCAACTTTTGATGACATGAAGGTACTGTGCACTAAATGACTAATTTTAATCTTTTCCTAGGCATCAATATGTCGAATGATATTTTCTCCCAATACTGAGCCATAGCGTGGTACTTGTCATCGCAGTCAATCACAGAGCTACAAGGGCAGCGTTGGGATCCCACTGTTCTCTGCTGCCAGGTCATCAATAGCCACACGCACTATTTAGCAGTTCATTATAGAAGCAGGATTTGTGTCAGATAATTTTACCCAACCATATAACATGTTTAATGTAGGCTGGGCTCAACTATGGTGTTCCTTGTACTTAAATACATTAAACACATACTCAGTTTACTATTGTTTTGACCTCTCATGTATGTGTTAGAATATAAACCTGTCTTAACTGAGAAGCAGCTGTATTACAAAACATAAAACCTTTATAAAATAAACTGAGATGCCTTTCCAGTTGCCTAATGATGCCTTCGATGCAGTGAGCCAGCTATCACTTTGGATTTGTTTCATCGTGTTTGCATGATGACAACCACCATTCATACCAGTTTTTATCTGTGGAAAGACAGGCCTCATTGATAGCAGATCTCTTTTTTCCTCTGTGAAAGGCAAGTCTTTCTAAGGAAGGATGCCCAGAAAAGCTGCAATGTAGGTCTCGTTGCTGAGAATTAGGTCACTCTGCACTCTAGCTCTGAGACAGGCTGTGAAAATGGAAGCAGGTTGCTGCCCTTGATTCAGAACATATTGTTATATTCCAACCCCCATTAAAATCAGAGTTTTATAGGAGGTAAACAGGGAAAGTACTGAGGAGGTAGATAGTGGTGGTAGCCTCTGCAGTCTCCTCGGGGATGCTTGCCTGGGTTTATCACACTACATCCTGGAAAAGCAGGAAAGCTGAATACTGCTTTCAACAGTGCCTCAACAGATTTCATAAAGTACCAAGGTGTTGGGGCTGGAAGCTGTCTCAGTGGTTAACAGCACAAGAGTACTTGTTACTCTTGCAGAGGACCTGAGTCTGAATCCTAGCCCCCATATGGGGTAGTTTACAGCTCCTTATCTAACTCTCTTTTCTGCATGGGCACCTGCACTCACATACATGCCCCTTACACAGTGAGACACAGGCACACACATCTTTTAGGAACCGTGATGCTGTTATGGATACTGCAAAATCCTCTAGGCATAGCACCGGCTTCAGTGGTTAGGCTGTGCTTTATTCTTCCCTGAAAGGGAAGAGTATGATTTCCTATTCGTGAACTACTTTCGCTTTACCTTTGTGTATCTTTAACTACTTACTTTTTCCTTTTTCTTACCATAATTTTTTCTTGCACTCCAATCTGAATACAGTCACAGAGTAAAAGACAGTTGCCCTAGCTCCTGCTTCAGCCTCCCAAATGCTAAAGTTACAGACATGCGCCACCAAGCAAGCCTAGCTCCACAGGTGCTTTGACCACCACGATGGGTGTGTGTATAAAATTAAAGGTACTATTTTCTACAGTTCCTTCTCAGTTCTCCCCATTTATCACCATACTGTCCTTTGTTGAAGCTTTACCTCTTTAAGAGAGAGCCAACACATATGGAGTATTTTACATCTGTATGGAAGAGGTGACAGGTGCTGGACATGGGTACAAAGCCAAATAAATCCCAGAAGCCTCTGCGCTTCCTGTTTTTCATCCTATACTTTTCCTTGCCTACTGTTATCCCTTTGGATTCATATTTCTTTTCTTTGACCCAAGAACAACCAACAACACCAATATGCTCCCTACCTGTAGTTCATATAGCCATATTGGGTAATCAAAGGGTAGTGATGAGGCGAATAGGCATTACTTCATCTACTTTTTTTTAATTGAGCTAGACATTTTCTCTGCTCCCTTCCCTTCCTCCCCACTACCCTTGTATCCTCTCCTGTGACCCCATGCACCCAATTTACTCAGGAGAAATTGTCTGGTTCTCCTTCCTATGTAGATCCATGTATGTCTCTCTTAGGATCCTTTTTGTTGTCCAGGTTCTCTGGGGTTGAGGACTGTAGGCTGTTTTTGTTGTTGTTTTGTTTTGTTTTCTTTATGTCTAAAAGCCACTTATGAGCGAGTATATATTATATTTGTCTTTCTGGATCTGGGTTAACTCACTCAAGATGTTTTTTTCTAGATTCATCCATTTGCCTGCAAGTTTCAAGATGTCATTATTTTTACCTCTGTGTAGTACTCTATAGTGTAAATATACCACACTTTCTTTATCTATTCTTGGCTTGAGAGGCAATTAGACTGTTTTCAGGTTCTGGCTATTTTAAATAATGCTGCTATGAACATAGTTGAGCACATGTACTTGTGGTATGACTGCATCCTTTGGGTATATACCAAGAAGTGGTATTTCTGGGTCTTGAGGTAGATTATTTCCTAATTTTCTGAGAAATGTACTTACTGATTTCAAAACCAACCGCACAAGTTGGCACTCCCACCAGCAATGGAGAAGCATTCCTTTACCCCCACATCCTCTCCAGCATAAACTGTCATAAGTGTTTTTGACCTTGACCTTCTGAAGGGTGCAAGATGGAATCTCAGAGTTATTTTGATTTACATTTCACTGATGGCTAAGGATGTTGACCATTTCCTTAGGTGTCTTTCAGCCATTTGAGATTCCTCTGTTGAGAGTTCTCTGTTTAGTTTTGTACTCCAGTTTTTTTTATTGAATTATTTGTTCTTTTGATGTCAAGTCTCTTGAGTTCTTTGAATATTTTGGAGATCAGTCCTCTGTCTGATGTGGGGTTGGTGAAGATCTTTTCCCATTTAGTCTTGTTGACCATGTCTTTTGCTTTACAGAAGCATCTCAGTTTCAGGAGGCCCTATTTATTAATTTTTTGTCTCAGTAGCTGTGCTACTGGGGTTATATTTAGGAAGTGGTCTCCTGTGTCAATGCTTTTAGGTGTACTTCCCACTTTCTCTTCTATGAGGTTCAGTGTTTTTGGTTTTATGTTGAGGTCTTTGATCCATTTGGACTTGAGTTTTGTGCATGGTGATAGATATGGATCTATTTTCATTCTTCTACATGTTGATATTCAGTTATGCCAGCACCATTTGTTGAATATGCTTTCTTTTTCCATTTGATAAGTTTTGCTTCTTTGTCA